AAAAGCGCACAACATCAGAAGCCTACGCCGACAAACTGATCCATCGGAGCATTCGTTTTATCAATGGACTGGGGGAGCGACCTGGGACCAAGGTTCTTGCTAGTGGTCGCGAACGAGCCGATTCTTTTGAACGGCTCTTTGGTACGAATGAGGGGAACCGAGTCGTACTTGGTGAGAGCCGTTCTTGTTATCGTTCAATCGTTGGTCCGTACTCACTGCCTGCCAAAATCCACTCGCCTTTTAAAAAACTTGATTTTGTTCCCCAAACGTATTCTGTGAAGACCCGCCCCTACTCTGACTGTATCTATCTTCGACACGGAAACCCTGTCTGCTCCTCACAGCAGCTCCTCGCGAGCGAGCAGTTGCACGTCGCTTGACCAATCAGAGCACACTGGGCTCACAGGGGGGGGGGGCGAGCTCCAACAATCCATTTAGGACAGAGAGTGAACACCAGGTTTCAGCACGAGGAGTGAGATGGGGTGGGTTTTAACGGAATACGCAAGAGAGAGAAGTCATAACAAGTGGTACAGGACAGGTAGACGATGTGTTTTTCGGATAGAAAATTAGCCAAACGCGAAAGCGCAGCAGAATTTGGATGCATTTTATGTTAGTTTAGTGGTTCTGTCCTGGAGAGATGATCATTTTACAAAATACAGTTACTCAATTACATCTTCGATCTTCGCAAATCAGTTATGAGTCTTCAAACGAATCACGCTCAATTTAAGATGGGGCCTTGCATATGATGCACACCTGCACACTTGCTAGCCTGTTCCATTCTTCGTTCTCCGATTGCCAGGAAGGATTCTTAACTAGCCTCTGGAGGACCTGACTCGGAAGACATGTCCTACCAAGGAAGCGTCCTCGACATTGAGAAACACCCTATGAGTCCCTGAGGGAGGATTACGCAAATGAAGCCGCTGACGTCACTTCTTCTTCTTCTGCTTTGGGTTTACTGGCAGGCCGCAAACAACTTCACGCCGTATACTGCTGCCCGAAGTCCCCGGCCGGAAGTCCCCGGAGTTGGGGACTGGCTTCAGTAGAAGCTGCTGGGAGTCTTCCCAGCAGCTTCTTCACCAAAACTTCTTCACCAAAACTTTTCGGAGTTTTACTGGGCGTGGTTTGCAATTCGCCCAGCCAATCAGAAATTGGAACCTTTTTCTCACCAGAAAAGTACCACCTCTCTAGCAGGGACTGAAAAAGGGTGAAACGGTTCCCGAAAAAAAGTTCTAGTTGTAGATCTTATTGGTGTGAACGCAAAATCCCAGGAACTATCGAAACTATTCCTGGGAAAAGTACTCGGGTGTAAAAGTACTTTTATTTTAAAGCAAAAGCAGCAAATCTTCACATTCAAGAAGCAAAATTACTTCCAATTGCTTTTCTGCCAAACAACTCAGGATTTTAGTGAATTAAATATCATTTTGAATGGTTTCATCTATACCAGATTTGAAAGGATTTCTGTGTACGAATAAAGCAACTAAAATAAATGTAGTGGAGTAAAAAGAACAACTTTTGACTACAAAATGTTGTGGATTAGAAGTATAAAGTAGTATAAAATGAAAATACTCAGGTAAAGTACAAGTACCTGAAATGTGCAGCAGTAATACTGTAAATTGATCCAAAGAAAAGCTATTAGAACTTTAGCGTTCACCCACCTGTGTGTCTGTAGCTGATGACCCCTGCAGTGATGTCTGCCTGTAGGAAGCGGTCCACCACTACAGAGCTCCGGAGAACCACACCATGGTACGGCTGTCGAGCGATCAGGAAGGCCAGGCCGCTGTTGTCACTGTCTGCATCAGCAGCGTAGATATACTCAGCTGTGATGACCACTTCCTGTCCCTCTGCACAGCTGAGAACAGGTTTCAAACCAGCAACCAACACTGGGACTTCATCATTGATAGGCATCACCTGCAGATGACATGCAAGGCAGTTTAGTTAAACAATGAATGGTTCAGTTTTCACTGACGTTTTTCTTACTGTAAAGCAGAACACAGAATTTAAGGTCAAAAAGCTTGTCCAGTTCTATTACCTTCACTTGCAGGAGAAAACTGACCGAGTTGGTGCCATCTGTTGAAGTGAATTCAATGTTGTCCTCTAAAGTTTCTGAGCTGTCGTGCTTGTACCTGATTGACAAATGAGAGACAACATTAAGACTTTCTAAGTGATGAAATAAACTGAACGCTTGATGTAAGAATTTAATCAATAATAATAATAATAATAATAATAGCTTGGATTTATATAGCGCCTTTCATGAGACCCAAGGTCGCTTTACAAGGAAGAACAGGGCAAAACAAACATAACAAAACAAAAGGCAGTCAGACAACCAGTCAGATAGACAAAACAACAAATAGATTAGGGGCCAAAGGCCTTAAGGCCCTGACACACCAAGCAGTCACCAGAGAACTCGCCGACGCCGACTGCTGCGTCGCCGTGTTCTCCTGCGTCTTGGCTATGTGTCGCACTGGAACACACCGCAAAGACTTCAGCCGAGCATGTACGAACTGTGCATGCGTGAACAACACACTCTCACTCCATAATCGTCCAGGAGCGACGTTTGGTCAGGGTCCCGTGGCGTGCAGTTGTGACGCTCCTAGGCTCCTTCAGCTTCATAAAGGGACGGAAATAGCTTTCAACTGATTGCAATGTATTCCCATCTGCGGCGGGATTTGACGCTCATGGAAGCACGGCATTCGTTTGTGTCGGCTGCCCTTAGAGGCAATGTGAGCGTCCATTCCCATTGGATAACGGAGAATTGTACACCCGGAAATAAGTATTCCCCTTACTGTCGATTGATTTTACAGTGATATCTGCACTACTCATCGACTAAAAACACCAGATTATCCTTGTTAATTACACAACATTGATTGGTTTAAATTGTGTGCAATGCTTTTGTATTTTTCCCCTTCGATTAGGAGAAACAAATATTTTTTCGGAGTAAAGGATGGCAGAAGACACTACACTACCCAGAATCCCCAGCTATGGTTTAGGACTACACCATCTGCTCTGTTTGACAAACCCCGTGATTAGTTCTCAAGCTCTGTGATTGGTTGACCTCCAACTGCATTCCATATGAAAAAAAACGTTTCGTAAAAGATAAAATCATACTTTATTCAGCAGTGCTTGCTTTACTCTTTGAAAGTCATCACATGAATGCATTGTAATGAAATGGTTCGGCTGCATTAAATATATTACACATCTGTCGTAGTTCTTTATTTTTATTTATCTACAGAGATCGGGCTCAGAATAGACCGGAAACTATTATTTTACCGTTCAGTTTGAATTTCACAATAAAGTTAGTAGT